GTTGGGGGCCGTGCTGGCAGGGGAACCCTCGGGCTGCAGCTCCTCCTCTGCCCTGGGGGCTGGTCAGCCCGGGAGGCCACACCGGGTCCACCATGAAGCTGTAGCCGGGTTCACACTTGGAAACTGGCTTGAACAGGCAGCCGTGGGAGGTGACGTGGCCCCGAGGGAAGCTTCCTGCCATGGAGGGACGCCCTCCTTGTGGTTCCAGGAGTCCTGGGCCTCCGTGTGTCCTGGACGCCTGCGAGGAGGCGCGTGGTCTCGGCCGGGGGCGCTTTCTGTGTGTCTTACAACTACAGCGCGGGCAGCAGGAGTCCGTGCTTACAGCTAGAGGTCGTCACAGATGTGGAAAGGGCGGAAGTTACGATTCATTCTAATTGTGAGTTCGGAACTTGGGGCGTCACTGTGAACGCTCTGTGACACTCCTGTGTGTTCTTGTCTGTGTGTGTATCCTTATCCCGACAGTCATGTATTTCTCTATGGAAAATGGATATAGAAACAGGCCTTAATATATCCGAGTGAGCCTGTAGAGACGTAGCTGTACAGTTCCGCGTTCATGCAGCCTGTGTGCATCTGTGAGCACACAACCTGCGAGCATGGCTAGATGTAGACACACGTACTCCTCAGGTTTTTTTTAAAGATTTATTTATGCATACAAGAACTGGGGTGTAGGCCAGAGGTGCCGGGGTGGGGGGTGGTGAGAAGATTCACCAGAGACAGAGTGGGGAGCAGAACAGGCAGACTGACTGAAATCCACTGCTGAGGGGAGCAGTGGGCGAGACAGGAGAGGTGGGTAGCTCCCTGTGGGTAGCTCCCTGGCCGATGGGGATCGAACTCGTGCTGCAGAGGCTGCGGACAGCTTCACAGTGCTACGCTTAACCCCTGCGCCGCCAAGGAGGCCCTCATGTGAGTGTGGCTAGATGCAGACATGCGCACTCCTCAGCGTTGCTCACTGCACAGTGCCGGGAAGCGAGTGTCTTCGCTTTGCCCTGGGCACAGCCGACACCTGCTCTTGTTCTCTGCTGAGAAGACTGAGCCTCTTCTGCGCAGAGGCTTATTTTCAGGGCAGGGAAGCTACTGGACGAGCCTGGAACACCTTGTCCCGTGAAGCAGGTCGTGCTCGAGGAGTGGCGGGGCTGCTGGAGGACCAGCCTTCGGCTCCACAGGTGCCCGGCCGGGGGCCATCAGGGCGGCAGCCACAACACCTGTGAGGGGCGGGGCAGGCCCTTGGGTGAAATAATCCCAGAATCCACACGGGCACCTGCCACCGAGGACGTGAACGGGGGAGAAAACCACCTCCTTGCAGCCGACTCAGGAGTGTGAGTGATGTCAGAAAGCCACCAATGGAGGCTACAGCGAGTGGGTAACAATTTAGTGAAGAAAACACGCGCGTTAATTATTAATTACGAAGGGAGAAACAGCAGCTAGACAACAGAGAGGGCTTGCAGGCACCTTCTCACGCCTGTCTGCCTGAGAGAGGGACACTGGCGTAGAATATTGGGGCAAAATGTGAACAAGTGTTGAATTGGGCTGACAGGGAGGTTTGGATTTTTATTATTTAACTTTCAACTTTCCTGCCACCTTTGACACTGAAGTTAAGAGGTTAAAAGAGGGGCCCCCCGAGGGCCTGGGGGTTCAGTCTCAGCACTGTCACTGCTAAGGCCTGAGTCCATCCTGGCCAGGGAGCTGACGCACAGGGCGCAGGAGACCTCTCCTGTCCACCCGCTGCTCCCCTCAGCAGTGGATTTCAGTGGACCCGCCTGTTCTGCTCCCCACTCTGTCTCTGGGGAATCCTCTCATCCCCCACACCTCTGGCCTGTGCCCCAGTTCTTCTAATAAACAAATGTTTAAAAAAAGAGGTTAAGATAACCTTTAAAGTGGTAGATGAACACGGGAGCACGCTCTCATAACTGCAGTGCGTGGGGTGTTTTTAACCATAATTCAGGGCTCATAAAAAAAAAAAAAAAACAGGCGCAAACGATTGATGCACTAAATACAAGAAGATAAAAAATTCCTGCAAGGCAAAAACATCATTAATAAAGCCCAGGACAGTGGCCAACTGTGAAAATATTTGCAGTTTATATACAAGCAAGGAGTGATTTTCTTCGCATGTTGAGCTTCCTAGAAATCTGGAAGGAAAGAAGTCCTGCAGGTCAATAAAACAATGGTCAACAGCATGAACATGCGTCAGGGAAAGGCAAGAAAGTAGCCCCTGGAGCCCCAGTCAGAGCTTTGGGCTGGCCCCGCGGTCCTCACCCTGCCACCACCCCGTGCCGAGCCGCCGGGCAGGGGCTGCTTCTTGGCTGCTGCTGCTCAGGCCCCGCTGCTGCGCGCCGCGGACGGGTGTCTGGTCCGCAGTCAGAGGCGTCGAGGTGCAGTTAACACAGAGAGAGGCGGCCCAGAGGCGGTTAGCTAGGACGTGGCGCTGCGGACCTCTGTCATCTGTAGGGCTGGCCTCTTGGGGATTGAGCCCCCGCTGGACCTGCTGGGCCCACACATTCGACTTATGAAGTGAATCACAAACTGCGAGTGATTTCAGGTCACAGCACAGAAACAGCAGAAGGGGGTATGAGGACAGGTCCGACCCGGGTCTTTCAAAATTGGAGACCTGTTCCTCAGACGTGTGTGCACTGGCCAGGGGCCTGTCCAGCGGTGACTGACTCTGGCCCTTCTCTCCGTTGGATGAGGCACCGAGGAGCACCAGGGCTGTGCCTCTGGAACGGACAGTCCCAATTCACCTAAGAGCAGAGCAGGACTGCTGGCCGCCAGGTGTGGCTGACGTGTCCCGGGCGAGGTTACTGACCCCCCAGAAGGGCATGGCTGTCTCAGGTTCCTGTGGCATTTTGACCACAGTGAAGCATGACCTCCTGCCATCTCTGCTGGGAACCTGCACACCCCAAGGCCCACATGGACCTCAGCATGGCCGTCCCTCAGGGGCACGGCAGCTGGGGCATGGCAGCTGGGGCGTCTTGCTTTGCTGTCTGCAAGTGCTCGTGCGCCTGTGAACAGTCAGCCTCTGTCTAAAGTCAGCTCAGCGAGTCGGATTCCCTGAAATGCAGCCGCACGACCCCTCCCACACGCCTCTCCTGTGCCCAGCACCAGCCCGCTCCAGAGTCTCCCTGTTACCTCCTGAAGTTACCTCTGTGGTCAGCCGGCCCAGCAGCTGCCGCCTGGCGTTTTGTCGCGGGGCCCAGCCCTCCCCAGTCTAGTGCCCGCAGCCCCCTCGGCCCCTCACTCAGGAGTGCTGTGCCCTCGCGCCCGGTCTTTGCCCCAGGCTGTGCCGAGCAGGACATCAGGTGGCTGGACCGGACGCTTGCGATGGCTCCACCGTGGGGGCAGGGTTGACCTCGGACAGCGGGAGCAGCGGCTGCACCGGTACCGCAGACTCCACTTCCTGAGGCCTGGAGGACTCCACGGGAAGGTGGGCACGGATGGAGCAGCGGGGCCGGGGCTTGTGCAGAGGGCGCGGAGCTTCAGCCTGTGCAGATGGAGCAGCACTGCTGGAGGTGGCGGAGGAGCCACGCGGCGTGGACAGGCTGGTCACCCGTGCTGCGTGGAGGGCGTTCAGGTGGCAGATTTCTCCGTATGCTCTGCTAGGACTGAAAAAAAATGTGAAAGCAAAGGGCACGACTCCCGGTCGCGTCTCCCTCCTACTCTAAGCCACGCGGCCCGTGTCGGCGTGAGCTGCCGGGAGTACGGACCCCACGCCACCGGGCTGCTGCCTGGTGAGCCGCCTCGCTTCCGCCTCGTGTCTGCCGGGGTCTAGGGGGGCAGATGAGTTTGTGGCCTCTTGAACAGCCAGAGACTGAGGCGCAGATGCTGAGGTGGCTGACCTGCTACCTGTCCTCCGGCCGGCGCCTCGCTGACTCTGGGGTGCTGTCAGCACCTCCCTGGCCCTCGAGTCCTGCATGGGCGCTCTGGGCAGCATGCACCTGCTCTCTCTGTGTTGCGCTCTGCGGTGGGGTTGGGGATGGGGTGGGGGTGTCTCGCCGTTGGAGAGCCGGGATGGCTCAGCAGCCGAGAGCGGGCTTCCGACCGACGGGGGGAGGGCTCCTCTCTCTTGTCCTGCCTCAGTCCGGTGGTGCCTGGGTCTTGCGGGCGGGGAGCTTTCGGCCTCGCTCTCCTCCCCACAGCAGCCTGGCGCTGCCTAGCTGGGGGCGCCCTGCCCTGGAGCTGCTGACCCCTGAAGGTTTGGGCTGATCCTGGCTCAGGAAGGGCTCCTGGCCCTCCCAGCACTTCTGCCTCCCCCAAGCCCCCCAGAATGGATATTTACCCTACCCCTGCGCCCTTGGCAGCTGCCACCGCTCCCCCAGGAGCCCAGGTTTTCTCCCCACCACCCCCATTAATGAGCTGCTGTTGTCTTGGAGCTTAGGATTTTGCTTCATAGTGGGTGGGGTGGGGTGGGGTGGGGTGGGGGCTGGGCTTGCCTGTCCTGTGGTGGGGGCCCCCTTTGCTGTCCTTCCCTCCAGAGTCCTCCAGGTGAGCACCCCAGGGTGGGGGGTGCACACCTGTCTGGGCTCCCAGGTCTTCACTCTCCTCAGAGGCCCTGCTGGGCCCATAGCATCCCCGGCGGGGCCTGTTGCTCCCTGGCCCTCTGGCTCTGTGGCTGCCCTTAACCTTAGCTCTGCCACGTTCAAGGACACTCACGACCTGACCCGAGTGGGCTTCCCTGGCTGTCGCCCAGGGCCAGACTCTCTCTCTCTGCTCTAAGCCCCACCGGCCCCATCTCTGTGAGCAAGCCAGGCCCATGTCAGCACGTCTCCTGAAACGCCATGTCCAGCCACAGAAGGACTCTGGAGTCCTTCTCTGTTTTCATACCTGGGCTGGGAACTGTGGGTGTGGACGCCGGGCGTCTAGGAGAGGTGACACCAGGTGCCAGCTGTCCAGCGCGGCGAGGTGGCTGGGGCTGCGCCTGTCCCCCTGGGGGGCTTGTCCCCAGCCTGGCCTTCTGAACAACGCCCATCAGAGTGGAGCACTAATGGCCACATTTTGCATCTTCCCAGACCCTGGAAGCGATCCTGAACTTCAAGTACTCAGGAGGCCCGGGCCACGTCGAGGGCTACTACCGGAGCCTGTCGCTGGGGCTGCACGTGGAGGCCGAGCCGTCCGTTGTCTTCACCCGCGTCAGCACTCTGCCGGCCACCAGGTGAGCGGCCCCTGCCCGAGCCCTGCTTTGCCCGATGGCGCCACCTCACCCTTGTGCTCCGCATTCACCGTGGCCCCCCCTCAGACCCTGCTGGTGGCCAAGTGGCTCTGCCTCCCTGGAATTTGGGTGGCCCCAGGGAGCAGGGGTGTGTGGCGGCATCTGCCGGAGGTTGTGAGCGGAGAGCACACTGTCATCAGGGCCTGAGTGTGGTGTCCCTGTGAGGCTGTGCCGCCCGCTTGCGTCCCCTATCCGGTCCTGGTCCAGGCTGGTCCTGCTGCCCCGAGCAGGGGCTTGAGGCTGGCCATGTGACTCGGGGCCTCCCACGGGGTCTGAGGTCTCCCTGTGTCCCTGTGGCATCCCTGTAAGACTCATGTGCAGTGCCTGACCATCCAGCATCTCAGCACCCCGTTTCTGGAGCACCCCCTGGCCTGGAGCAGTGGTTCCTTTCTGCCCGAGGAGCCCTGCTGTCTCCTACCTACGTCCCAGGCCTAGGCTTCTCCCAGGGACAGAGAAATTCAACAGTTTCTCTCTTTCAAACTCAGAAGTGGCTTCTCAAATGTCAGTAGATGACCATTTCTCACCTCAGACTAACTGGTGATGAACTGGGAGTCGGGGCTCTGGGGGTGCGGGGTGGAACCCTGGCCTGGATCCCTGCCCCTTAAGCAGCTGCTGGGCCCGGTGCACATCTGGATCGCCGACCGGTGGGGCCTCCCGTCTGTTGGGGCTACTCAGAGATGTTCACTCTTGCGGAGCTGGGGCTGCCGTGCAGCTTGAGCCCAGGAGAGCACCCCGTGCAGCCCCTCCTGGCCTCCCTGGAGGGCGCCAGGGCGCTGTCGCCACAGGAGGGTGGGCGTCAGACGCCCTTGGGAGAGAGAGCCACGAACACTTTGCCTTTCGGAGAAAGACGGTTTTCCTTCCCAGCCGGTGGAAAATTGTTTCAGTGGAAATGAACGGCCTGGCTGCTGCTGCTTAGCCTTCACCCAGCACATGTTCAGTGCAGAGCCCAGGTCTTTGCCTGCCAAGACCGGCCTCTGTTTTGATTTGTCTGCAGTGCCCGAGCTCTGGCCTGGGAAGCCTGAGCATTTGTGCCAGCAGAGCCGGGAGAGGGCCTGGGTCTTTCTGTGCGTGGACTGGGCCTGCCCGCCTACCCACCCACCTGCCTCTCTGGCTGCCGTGGCCATAGTCGGAGTCTGGGGAACAGCACAGGTTGTTGCTTCCTTGTTTTCCCCAGTCACTGTCTGGCTTCCCTGGCAGGGCCCTGCAGCTCCCAGTAACCTAAGACGAGGCGGTGCCGCCTCCGGACTGCAGGCACACCGGGGAACCCCACCCCCAGCTTCTGAGTCCCCAGCCTGGTGGCCTCAGGCACTCCCTTTGGAGCACGTTGCTTGTCCCTGCTCTTGGGGCCGAGATCATGCGTCTCTTAATGCCCTCTGTCCGTTCCTGCTAAGTCAGATTGCTCCCCAGTTCTGCGAACTGAGCCTCAGAAGTGCCTCCTGATGGCATTGCCAGCACTACCACCAGTCTTGGGTTCCCCAGGCATGCTCCTTCACCACCCCGAGACACAAGTGTCCCCAGGCCACTGTCTGGGTTCTTCCCAGGTGATCTAGCTCAAAGTCTCCCCATCCTGGGGGGCACCTTTATCCCTGGTGCCCTGGCAGGTCAGAAGAAAGGTCTGTTGGGCATGACGAGCCGCTGCATGTCCTGCGTGGTGGTCACGGCGTGGGAGCGCCAGCTCTGCGTCCTTGTGGGTGCCACCTGGACCTGGCGCCGAGCGCCTCCACGTGAGCATACACATACCATCGGGGAGCACATCTGTTTGTTGCTGGAGACGTCTGGCACGGTGCCAAGGAAAGTGCCGTGGTGTTTCTCCCCGCGGATGCTGGAGGACGGTGGAGTCGGTAGGCCCTGGGCTCCTGTTCCCTGGCTGGAGTCTGAGCGCTGGAGGCGTGCCCGGGTCCGGGCCTCGGAGCTGGTACACACAGCTCACTGTGGGGCCAAGTGAGGACGTAAGGACGATCGGGCGTGAAAAACCAAGACTGCATTTATTCAAGTGTCTTTTGTGTAAAAGTCGTGACTTTGAAAAAATATTTAAGCTCCGTTTCCCTTGGAGACCTGTACAAGTTGCATGGCCTGACCACAGCAAACTACAGGCATCTCGGGCGCTTGACTTCTGCGGTGGATTGAAGTGGACGTGCCAGGATGCCTTGTGAGCTCATTACGTCTCAACCTGCTCACAGGGGAAGACGTTTCGCTTAAAATCATCATCTGGGGCAGGCATTCCAGAGAGCCCATGTCAGCACACCCGCACAGGAAGCAGGCCCTGAGGGGCGCACACCCCTGGCCCCCGCCTGGCCCTGAGGCTGCTGTGCACGGACAGCTGGGCGCACGCGTGGCCATCGGTGCCCCGAGCAGGCCGGGAGGCTGAACACATGGAAGGTGGCTCTGCTGCTGATGCGAGCTAGGCCGTGTGCTCTGCTCTGGAGTCAGACTGCGAGGGGCATGAAGCTCCTGCCCCGGCCACCTGGGCTTCCCGGGTCTGGCCGTGGGCCGCTGTGCCTCCTCCTCAGTGAGCTTTCGGTGGTGCCGCTGGAGGCAGGGACACCTATGTGCAGGCCTGCCCTAGTCTAGGGGACCCTGGACCTCCAGAGCACCCTTTGAAGCCGGCTTTCCTCTCGGCCTGTGGACTGGCCTCCTGCGTCGCGCGTGAGGTGTCACTCGTGGCCTTTGGTGCCCTGACTTGTGCTTTCTGCCCCACTTGTACCGAGCCTGGCATCCTGCCCCTGCCTCCCGTCCCTCCCTGGAGACCGCTCAGCCCCGCCCCGCTCACCGGGTGGTGAAAGAATCAAACTAAACACGCAGGGGCAGCTTCTCCGAGCAGAGGGGTGCAGAAGCACCGTGCAGAGGTGCTTGTTACCGACTCCGTAGGGGGCCGTCACAGCTCTCAGCTGACGCCTATTTGGAAGATCAGTTGCTTTGGATTGGCTTTTTGCACCGAGCTGCGCTAATGTGGTTAGGGAGTGGAAATGGATTGGGCCCGCTGCCCTGCTGGACGCCGAGCCTCCTCCCTCCCAGCCTGGTGCGGAGAACCAGCAGAGGAGCAGAGGAGCAGAGGCCAGGAGAGAAGGCCAGGGAGCCCAGAAAGACTGAAGACTGGGCTGGGAGGCCTGCCAGGCCCCTGGCCCCCCGGACCCCTGCCTGCCGTGTACCTGGTCAATCCCAATAAAAGCCTGCAAAGCCACCGAGGGCTCCAGGACTCTCCACCTGTCTGCTCGATCACAGAGAACCCGCCCTGTGCCATCCGCCGCTACAGCCTGCCACGACCAGCCCGCCGGGCCGTCCCCCTGATTATTGGCGTGTGTGGATCCGCTCCCCCTGCCCAGGGGTCAGCGGTCAGGAGCCCATGTCCCGCCTTTGCTCACAGGCATTGGGGGCTTTTATGTCCTCCTGACGTGTCACTGAATTAGTAAGATCCGCACGTGTAAGAGGCCCATTTTCACATTGCCCTGTTATTAAATTTGCTGATGTTTGTTTGAAAACTATCAGTTTTCACGACTTAAGGGCCTTCTGTTAACAAGTGGCACACACTGCTTGGCGTGTTTGAAGTCTGAAGCCTCAACACCGAGCAGAGGGGCCCGCGCTGGCCTGGGACCGGCCTGCCGTGCGGGCACCGTGTGTCACGCCCACCGTGTGTCCCCAGACCCTGCCCTGGGCGGGTGTCCCAGCCCCCACCGGTGCTCAGCACAGGGGGGCCTGGTCGTGCACCCCTTCGTCACAGGCTCCTCATCTCTCTCCCGCTCGTCTCCCCAACACGTTCCAGGGCCCCGCTCGCCCCTCCCTTCCCATGGGACTGCCTGGCCAGAGGGCAGAGAGCGGGTGGGACTGTCCTGGGCCTCCGCTCCTGGGGCAGGGAGCGCTTCCCACCGGGTGCGCGTGGCTCCCTCCTGTTCCTGCCAGGAAGGGGGGACAGGAGACTCGGGGGTCCCGTCCCGTGCTCGGCGCCGCGCCTCCTGGGGGCAGGGGCGTCCTCAGCGCTGCGTGCGGGCCTGGAGGGCAGTGAAAACTCACCCCCACGGGAGGAACTTGGACTCTGGCCTCCTCCCCCAGCCCACCTTCCACGACTTGCTCCCGAGTCTCCGTAGCCGCCCGCGCTGGAGCCGTGATTTCTAGCTGCGCCGCGAGAGAGACCGCGGGTTCTTTGTGCTGCTCTGTCTTCTCCACAATTGAAATTCAACTTGAAAAAAAAAAAAAAAAAACCCACCAAAGCAATGCATGTCATTCATCTGCTTTAAACTCTAAAAATAGCTTCCCGTCAGCTTAGAATAGCTCTGAACCCTTTCACGCCCTTCCTCCAGCGGTGATTTTCTGCCTCTCCCCCCGCCCGCTCCGCCCTGATCCCCCGGCCTCGAGATCTGGCCATTAGCGCGTCTCCTCAGGAGCAGCCCCGAGACCATCACACGACAGCTTGGTCTCGTGGCTCAAGTCAAATGGTCTTCCTTGAGGCCCTCCTCTGCCCCGCCGAGGCCAGCTTCTATCCCTGCTCTGCTCTCAGGAGATGCGCTTCACTGTGGAAATACATCTGCATCACAGGTGCTGTTCTCTGCCTCACGTCCTGGCCCGCCGCACCCTGCAGCCATCGCTGTGGCAACGGGCTTATGCAGGGGTGACCTGGCAGCACCTCGCCTCAGCTGGCTGAGTGCCTCGGCATTTCTGGAAAATTCTAAATGCCTGCTCAGAGCTGCAGCCTGGGGCGGGCGTGAAGCATGAGAGCACTGACCCCATGGGGGAGGCTTGACCAGCGAGTCCAGCGCCTGGCAGAGAATCCCCCCTTGCCTCGGATGCCCAGTTCTGAGGCACAGTCCCCAGGACTCCTCGGGGGACCAGTGGGGGAGCCCACCACACGCAGGGTCCAGGGACAGCACCCCTCCTCCGCCCTGCTCTGCTCGCTCCCTCCTACCCCCACCCCTGCACCAGCTCTTCCCTCAGGCTCTGCTTTTGGGGGACCCCAGGCCAAGTCAGTATTCTAAGCCACCTGGGAGCACTTTATATAAAGCATGCCAGGTAGAAACAACAGGACGGGGCATAACCTACCCGCAGCACAGATTTCTCAACTTTGGACATTTCGCTAAGGCGTGTTTGCCCCGATTCTTCCAGTTGAAAGGATTGGAATGTGACAGTTCTCTGTGACACTGTCCCCTCCCTGCCACTCGCGCCCGGAGTGACCGCCACCTGCCAGTGGGCGTTCTAAGCGGTGTAGTGCACTCGGGGCTTTAAGCTTGAGACAACTGCGTGCCGTGCTGAATGCACCCGTGTCCCTGCTCACCCGACTCCACCAGCACGAGGCTCCCTGCCGAGGCCCGTCGGTCTCCTCAACTGCACACTCCTCGGGGCGGCTCCAGGGGTGGCCGTGCCAGCTGCGGGGTCCGCTCTGGCCGCCATGCACTCAGGTAAAAGCAGTTCTGTGGTTTTATAAATAATGCTGCAGTGAACACCTTAGAATCCGTCCTGTGCTGAACTCACAGGAGCCGATGGAGGCTCAAGCCTCAGGGCTGGGCTGTGGGTCAGAGAGGGGGACCGTGTTCTGTGCTCCCAAGCGGCGGGGCGCACATCCCCCACTTCTTGTTGATCTACATCTTAGCCAACACCTGGTGTCGGAGCCCTTGGCGCTGTTTCCAGGGGGAGGGGAGGGGGGAGGTGTGGGAAGCAGCATGTTTGGGTTTCTCTCCATTCCTTAACTCCCAGCAGCCCTTGTCTCCGCACGGACACCACCTGGCAGGGTTGAGGGGATAGTGTGGGTTTGAGGTGGATTTCCCTGGCAGTCAGTGATGTTAAGGCGCCTTTTCAAGTGCCTGTTGGCCATTTCATGTCTTCTTTTGAGAAATGTCTGTTCAAGGCCTTAGGCAGTAATTAATATTTTAACCAGGTTTTTTTTTTTTTTTGAGTTGTCAGAGTTCCTTAGACAGCGGTTAAGTCCCATCAGACGCGCGGCCTCCAAACACCCGCGGTGCTGACCGCCCTGTGCGCCGCTGCTTTCCTTTGCTGTGCTGGAGCCTTTCCGTTCAGGACAACGCCCTCGTCTGTTATTTTTCCAGCTGCCCGTGCTTGTGGGTTCCTCCAGAATCATTGCCCAAATGTCAAAGGCTTCCCGCCGCTTTTCTTCTAGTAGTTCTGCAGTTTCAAGCCTGCTGTCCGTGCCCTTAATCCATTTTACGGTAACTTTTTATAGATGAGGGAAGAGCAGCAGGTGCATTCTTCTGCATTTGAGGATCCAGTGGGTCACCCCGCTGCTGGAGAGAGTAGCCCGCCTCCCCCGTGTGCGCCTGGTCCCCTCTCTCAAGCCCACTTCACAGTGTGTGTGTCTCGTAGTGCGTGTGAGAAACCCTTCTCACTTTCAAAGTCGTCAGCTATCCACCTGCGTTTTCTTGTGGAGGATTTTAGGTGTTGCCTTTTATGTCTAGTTATTCAGTCTATTCGGAGTTTACTTTTGTTCATGGTGGAAGGGAGTGATAGCATTTCTGTCTGCATTAATTATTTGCGCCAACACTGTTCAGTGCACACTTCTCTCTAATCAGCACCACCATCGTGGCCACATGTCCAGCCCCCAAATGTCCAGACGTCTGTTCTGGGCTGTTCACTCATAACTTTATGGCAATTTTTGACATCGGCTTGGCAGACTCCCGCCCCCAAATCTTCCTCATCTTTGTTTTTCATGTTCGTAGCCCTCTGGTCTTACAAATAAATTTTTTGTTTGACCAAAACTAAAACTTTGTTGGGATTTTTTATTGAGTTGTATTGAGTTTACATAATACTGAGAAGAGGTGGCTCTTCAAAAATGTCATCTTCCCATCCTGGAACATAACTTTTGCATTTATTCATCTTCCTTAATATCATGCTATAAAACTTGAGCACTTTCTCCATAATTGTTTCCTCTATATCCATCGTGTTAGATTTATTCCTCGGTGCCTTGCTTTTGTAAATGTGTTTTCTTAAAAGCTGTATCTTGTGACCGACTGGGTTGGGTTGATGTGGAGGAGCAGCGCCGCCTTTGCGCGGCCTTACCCCTCTGTATTCAGCAACTTCACAGACCCGCTTTTCCTCATTATATAAAATTGTCAAAATAGTTTATTTAACATTTTCTCACCCCCCCATCTTTCTGTCCCTCCTCCCTCCTATCAGGGTGATGTCCATGAGAGCAGAGACTCTCTCTGTGTCGCTCACCCCCATGACCGAGCGCCTGCAGCGGTGCCTGGCATAGGGCAGGTGCCCGGTTGGTGTGTGCCTGGTTAGCTGAGCTAAGCCGTACTCAGGTGGGGTGGGTGCATTTTCGCCTCAAGGAGGCTCTGCACACCGTCCTCCCTGCCTGGAATGAACACCCCCCACCACCCGCAGCCTCGGCCCCTTCCCTAAACCACGATTCCCCAGATAATCATGCTGATTCCCAGAACGTTCCCCCCGCTGGGCCTCGGCCCTGCTCTCCCCACCGCGGAGGTGGCCCCTCCCAGCTGGCGCTCCTGGACCTGCCGGCACCTCAGGACTTGGAGCCAGGAACAAGCAAACCAAGGACCCGGCAAGAATCCAAAGCAAACTGTGTGTTCGCTAAGAGCATCAGTCTTTCAGCAAGTCGTCGCGTGAGGTGGCCGTGCCCAGCGGGGCGTCCCGGCGGGCAGGGCGTGAGGCTGCAGGCCCCGGGGACCGTGGCCCCCTGGTGCCCGGCCGTGGGCCCGGCTGCGTCCCGAGTGAAGACCGCGTGTTTGAACCTCCTCTGCTTGTAACCATCACTTGGGTTTTCCTCTGCGGATAATGACTTTCGCGTTTCCTTTTCTGATGACAGGTTTGCTGTGATGGAGGCTCTCACGACGCTTTGACAGGGGCGGATTAGGCATCCGCCCCGGGGAGCCCGCTTCTCTGTGCGCCGCCGAGTGAAGAGGCGCTTGTAGGCAGCTGTCAGCGTTAATGAATATTTTCCGAGTGCTAAACGTCAGGGGGGGGGGGGCACCCCCAGGGAGCCCAGACTTGGGCGGCGGCTGAGCACTGGGGGACGAGGAATAGGTTCCTTTGATGCGCCTACCCGAGGGGGAGGGTGGGTGGGTGCTGCACACGCGCCTCTGGCCTTTGGGGATGGCTGTGTTTGTGTACATGTGTGCACACACGTGCCAGCCCCCTGGCGAGTGATGGGACCCTGCACCCAGAGTCCTTCTCCGGGAGGATGGGACGGGCAGCACAGGGAGTATGGTTCTCCCCTCCTGAGCCTCGTCTCCCTGCCCACCCCAGCGGGGCTTGAAAGGCCTGGTGATGACGATCAGGGCGGGTGCCGCTGCCCTGGGCCTCCGCCCCTCCCTCAGAGCCCGCAGAGCCTGGCCTCACGCTGCAGGAAACACAGACTTCAGGCCCCCTGTGGAGGGCTGCGATTTGAAGTCACGCTGGGCTGTCAGTGGCCCAGGGGCCAGCCTGAGCCCCTTCCTCCTGCACTGGCATCTCCTGCTTCTGGGGGCGGATAGTGGTCCGGGCGGACCCATCCCTGCTCCCCTACCTGTTCTCCAGGTCAGGCCTGTGGCTGCGGTGAGCTGTGGCACCACAGCACCCGCTGGGACCCTGGGGCGGGGCACTGAGCTGGCTTTGGGCCCGTGCTGGGCTATGAGGGACCCACGCAGCGGCGTGAGGACGGGCAGTGTTGGCTGCATAGCTGGGGAGCCTGCTGGGCAGCGGGGGATGGTGGGGCTGCCTCGGTGGCTCACAGCTCATCCTCTCCCGACTCCTCCTGGCTCCCATGCTGCAGCCACTCTTGAGACGTGTGCTGGTCACCTCTGAGCGGCGGCTGTGCGCTTCCTGGCGTCCTGCTCATCTCCAGGGAGGGGCGGCGCGGCTGACACCTTCTCCCCTCCAGGCCTGTCGTCGTGGGACAGAAGGTCCCAGACCCTGTCCTCCTGGCTGAGCCGTGCTGCCCCCCCCGCCCACCCCCTTGGTCCTGCCCGAGGGTGCATCCTTGGGTGGTGACTGGGTGCTCCGAGGACCAGAGCACCAGCCCTTAAGTGGTACAGCCCGTGGGCAGTATGGGCTCACAGGGGCCTCCTGGGGTGCCCCGTGGCAGCGCCACCATGAGCTGGGGTCCTTCCTTTCTCCTCGTGTGGTAGGGAGAACCGGGGAGTGTTTCCACATGTGGGTCCCTCTCCCGGCAACACGCTTGCCCGTGACTGTTGCAGCCCCCACGGCTGTGCCTGACACCCCATGCTCTGCCTATAGAAACCCGGGAACTCTTGCCAGTGGCTCGTGACTCTTGGAATGGGGTGAGTGCCGTGCTCCTCACCCTTGTCAGCTGGCTGAGCCGCTCATGCTTGAGGCTAGGAGGGCTTGTGCCCCTGCTCCATCGCCGGCCTCCTTGGCTGGGGTGAGCTGACCTTCTTGTCTCTCCCGCAGCACCCGGCAGTGCCACCTGCTGCTGGACGTCTTCAACTCCACGGACCACGAGCTGGCGGTGACTGCCCGGAGTGATGAGGAGCTGATCCTGCACCCCAGCGAGTGCCAGCGGTAAGTGCCTACCCTGTGCCACCTTGCCGTCCTCAGCGTCCCCTGGGGAGGCCCTCACTGTGCCCCCAGACCTCGTCCCTGCCGAGGTGTCACAGCACAGTTCTAGGCTGTGCAAAAATCAGATGTGGTTTCAAATTGAAGCCAAGTGTAGGGTGAGGCAGAGCTGGGCGGGCGCATCTCGGGGCAGCCCACTGAGCCATGGGGACCCCTGGGCCGCCCTTTCACTGCGCAGCCCTCAAGGAACCTGCGCCTGGGGGTGCTGGGGGTTGATGTGGGGGCAGCAGAGCCCATGGAAAGCAAGGTGGGACAGCCTGGGCTTGGGAAGGGTGCAGTGTGGCCCAAGCCCAGGTCCCAGGCCTGGGGAGTGAAACTGATGGGGAGGCCAGGCTTGGGGGTGCCCCCAGGGGTGGAGCTTGGAGACCTTGGGAGAAGCCTCTGTGGTAGTGGCCCCTCCTGCCCTGTGGCCTCTCCCGGCCAGTCCTGGACTCCACGCCCAGCTTGGGTTCACGGTGCACCTGTGGCCCGGAAGGGGGGTTTCTAGGCGATGTCATGTTGTGCCCCTGTCTGGGCACTGTGGGGGCGCCCCTTCCAGTCCGTTGTGCTTCACTGTGGGTCAGTGCTGCAGCGGCAGGGATGCCAACTCGGGGGGCGCTGTAGCCAGCGAGGGACGTGGGCAGCAGCCGTGGCTCCCGCCGGCTCTGGGCGCCGTGATGGAGCAACAGGGGTGGGTGGAGGCTGTGGGGCGCACTAGGAGGTGAAGCAGGTCTAGGAGGCTGCCGTGGCAGCGTCTCCCATCGAGGGTGTTTGCTGGAAATCCTCTCGAGTTCGTTGAAAATTTTTCATAGAATAAAGTTGAAAAAAATAAGCTGATGAAAAAAATAGCTAAGCCTCCCCCCTCCCTGCCCTCCCCCGGCCCCCCCCCCCCCAGGAACGGTCCCAGGCGCCTCCGGCGTTGTTCACACGCACACCGTGTCTTACTCCTTGTGTGGTGTTTATTTACATCCACGGCCATTATTTTTCGAGTTGTTTTTTGAAATAACATAGCCGGCTCCTCCTCACGTGTGTCTTTTTATAACCGTCTTCAGGGCTAAAGATAAGCTCCGCGCTTTCTTCTCGGTGCTGCTTATATTGCAGGGCTTGACGGCCCCACTTACCCCTCTCCACGCTGCTCCTCCGCGGCGGTCGGTTACCTGGCTGTGTTAATGACGCCCTTGCGGAGTCTGGCCTTGGAGCCCCGAGGGACCCGTGGGGGCTGGTCCTGGCTCCTGCAGGCCCCGTGGCCTGGGGCACGGACGCCTTTCTCTGAGCAGAGCGCAGACACTCACCAGATCTCCTTGTCCCGGCCCCTGCAGAGGGCCAGCCCTGGGGTGGGGGCGGGCATGGGGTGGTGTCCCTGGGCAGAGGGACAGGTCTCCCCAGGTGCCTCCTGGGGTCTAAGCTCTGGCAGCTTCCTGGCCAGGGCGAGTCCCCGGAGTCGTGTCCGTCTCACCTTTCTCTGCCCTTGTCTTTCTTGTCTCGATGTTTTGCTGTAGCCTGAGATCCCAAAGGATAAATAAACATGAGTCTGGTCTTCCTGTGACACCAGGAGAGAGCGAGTTTTGGAAAAAAGTCTCAATTGCCAGCTTGTTGTGAACCCGGCTCATGCTCAGCAGCGAGGCTGAGCAACGTTCCCAGCCCCGTCGGCAAATGATCCCAGTCTAGCCCTGTGTCTCAGGCTGCCTCCTTGCTCAGCTTAAGTTGCTTAAATTCTCATTTCTCAGTGCTCCTAACTCACGCATTCTTTATTCATTCATAAAATATTCATTCAGCAGATATTGATACCTGGAGAGCTTGCTGTGTCCCCTGAGGGAGGCTCCAGGGGGGCTCAGGGGCGTGGACGAGGGCCTCTCCTGGGTGGGTGGGCGGTGGCAGCTGAGTGGCGAGTGTCCTGCAGCTGGGGCGGCCCTGCCCCTCCTGTCCCCAGGTGGGGGGCCAGTGACCCGCCATCCTGCAGCCCCCTGGTGGCTCTCTCGGAGCCTAATGTAGTGGGTACACAGGGCGCCTTTCCAGACCCGCCTCTTCCGCTCGGTCCAGCACCTGGAGAGCCCCCGTGTCTTTGGGGGTGGGAGCCCCTTGTCATTCTGAGTAATGTTCCAGAGACTGGGGCATGGGCTTGTTTTTCCCGGCACCTGCTGAGGTGCAGCCTGGGGGCTTCCGCGTTCTGCTGTTAGAATTCTCTCCTTGTTCAGGTTGTCGCGTGGACTTAAGTTTTCAGCTCCTTTCGGTAAACACCGAGCAGTGCCGTGGCTGGATTGCGGGTCAGGAGGGTGCGTACGTCGTAAGAATCCCTGTGTGTGTTGAAAGCACAGCCCTGTGCACCCTGCTTTGTGCTTTCAGCAGACGCTTCCAGTTGTTCCGTAGGAGAAAAAGGCAAATGAAAATGCCAAGACAACTCGACACGGTGCTGTCAGGGCCGGGCCCCGCTGTCGAGACCTGCCGCCTCTTTCTGGCGCTCTCGCCTGCCCGGGCGGCCTGATGCCTTCTTCAGCCTTGAAGACCCAAATCATCCCCCAGGAACCCTCTGGGCTCCCCTCATGACCTAGAAATGCGGAGGTTAGGACTGGGCGCAGGCGCGGTCTCTCGTGTCCAGCTCCCTGTGGCCAGAGGCCCTTGTCTCACCTGCCCGTGGACCATACCCTTAAATGTGAAGTTCTGTATTCTTTAAACAGTGGGGCCACTGTTTCCCCGTGTCCACCTTCCCAGCCCCCGGAGGCAGTGGGGTCTGGAGGGGGCACTTGGTTGGAGAAGGTGCCCAGCACTGTGGCAGCAGGAGACAGTGGGTGGCAGCGGCAGTGGGTGGCAGTGCCAGTGGGTGGCAGTGGGTGGCAGCGGGTGGTAGCAGTACTCGACCCGTCACGGTTGCCGCTCTGCGTGCTGCCGACCGGTGGTGGTCCGCTGGGCCCCTCCTCTGTGGGGAGGCAACCGTGGGCGGCGGGCTGCGTCCGTGTGCCTCACTCTTGTGCTCTGCCGGCTCGCCTCCTGCGTGCTGCTGGACGCCGCCGGTGTCCACTGGCTGCTCACAGGCTCCTGTTGGGGCGCCGCCCCCTCCCTCCCTTCCCTCTGTGTCCCTGTGTGGCCTCTGCTGGCCCCATCCCTGCTGCTGGGCCCGGCCCCGGCGCTGCTCTGCCTCCTCCAGCCGCCCAGGAATGGGCTTTCTCGCCCTCTCTGAAACAGCCCATTAGCCCTCCCAAAATAGCACGTCCCTTTTTGAAAATAAGAAAACATACGCGGAAAATGATGTTCTAATTTAGGCTTAGCCCCACCCCCGGGATAATGCGCTACCTCCACGCGGCCCGTCTCCGCGTCTCGGCCACTTTACACGAAATTGGGATTGTCTGGGCGCCCGCCTTCCCCCACCGTAATGGCCGTGTATGTCCGTCAGGAGCACGCGTCCATGGCCTCACCCGTCAGGAGCATGGCCTGCTGCGGCAGTGACCCGGCCCTGCAGCGCCATCCCCAGAACCCCTGAGCCACCCCCAAGCGGCCCACGCAGGGGTCACTCGGCCGCATGCCAGACGCCCTGGCTTCCTCATTGGCCTGGGGGCTCCTCTCCTCCTTTGGGGCACTGAGTTCAGCCCAGGGCCGCACCCCAGCTCTGTCCCGGCATCGTCATGCCTTTGCAGGGACAGGTCTGCCTCTCCACTCGCCCCCTCTCCCCAGGGCCGCCCCCGCCCGGGTCCTGGACAGCAGGGACCCAGCTGCCCTGCCAGCCACGCAGGCCGGCAGCCGGCGCACAGAGCCGTTCGTCGGTGGGCGAGCAGCCGCAGGCCCCCGCTTTTCTTTTTCAATTGCGCTTGTTCTCAGAAATGAACTCTGCTCCGCGTAACCTCTCTGTAGGCCCGTGACCGTGTCAGCAGAGGATGGAGACGTGGATAGAAGCCGATCATCTCATGAAGTCCTGGCCCTGGCCATCCTCGCCTGGCCCACTGCCCGCCTGCCGCGGGCCCTGTGCTCTCTGGTGGGTGGGAGGCACCCCCTCCCCACACCGGCTGGCCCGCCGGGGGTCAGGCTGAGGTCCTGCTCTGTCACATGCTGGTGCAGACTGTGGGGCTGGCCCCCACACTCCTGTCCCACCGCAGGGCCATCAGCCAACCCTGTCCCCTGGTACCTGGAGGGGAGGAGACATGACGTACCCCACTGTGGGCCTGCAAGCCCTGGCCCAGCATGGCCGTGCGCGAGCCCCGAGGTGGCCTGTCCCCGACGGCTGCCCTGAGCAGGGCCTGGCACGTCCCTCTGCTGAAGGCTCAGGCTGCCCCCTGGGCCCCATCGGGCTGTGCCTCCTCCCTTCCAGGTCCAAGCCGCCAGCCCTGGCGTCGCCCCCCGACACCCTCAGCCTTTTTCACTTTGTGTCACGCTGCAGGGACAGTGCTGCAGACGCTGGCAGGTTCCCCATGAGTAAGGGGAGTGTGGAGGCACAAATCTGCCCGAGTTCTGGTTTCTAGTTGGATGTGTGGCAGAGCAGCTCTTAATTTTTGACGCTTTCTCTGACAGGCCATCATCACCTGTGCAGAGGGATGAATCAGTCATGTTTTCAGAGTGAAACAGGCTTAATTTCTCACAGTCCATTCCTGTCTCCTTCCTTCTCTCCCACGGGGACGCGCAGCCCTCGGTGACCCAGTGATAGGACGTGATGGCCGGCCAGGGCCCTGGCCCTGTCAAGACGGGCGGACATACTGTTGGGGCCTGCATGCGTCCCCTGGGCTGCCTGTGCCATCTCAGGACACGTGTGGTCATGCAGCCGGGTCCACCTCATGCCCACGGCCCTGAGCAGACAAGCAGCATGCGGAGAAGGGGTCTTCCCGACCACTGAGGGCTCGGCTCAGAGCTCCGCACAACTCTGGGGGGATGCTGGGGCCTGTGTCTGCTTGACTGTAGGGGAGTGGCCTGGTCCCCTTTCAGCTGCAAGATTTCACACGCTGTGGGTGGGGCTCCGGGCAGCCTCATGTTAGAGGTGCTGGTGA